TATCCCGTGCACTGATAAGAAATGCAGAAGGGGGAAAAAAACACATACACGCACAAATAAACACCAAAGTTAACAGTATCCTGGGGTTGCTGAGTCAGTTCCCTGTAGTCTGAGGCTATCGCGTGTTAGGTCGCGTGTATAGATGTTAAAGTCAGCAGAGCCCCCCGCAAGCACTTATTTCTTATTTCATGTGTCCTGCCCACTGCACAAAAGTGGGTTATTCCATGTGTGTGTGCTAGTTCTAAAGTTTTTTTTTTTTTTAAAAAAAACTTTAAAAAAAAAAAACAAAGACTTTCTAACAAGTCTTAAATACCCTGTTTTACAGAAAGTGGGGAAGAGACAGCTGTATTGTACAGGGAACGCGTTAGATGAAATCCCTCAGGGTGAGCTTGAGACTGAGTTACAGCCCAGGCCCCAGGAAGGCTGAAAAGTCAATATTGGGCAATCTGAAACAGAGTTTAAAAGAAGGACCCTGTTTGAGCAGGGTGGCTGGGCTGGATCTCTAAAGTCCCTTCCATGTTCTACCATTATGTGATTCTGTTCTATGAGTCCAAAATATCCAAAACCTGAAAAACACTGTCACTACGTAGGTTATTTGTACAGCAGTCTGAAGTGTAAAAGAATAAATTGTTGTGGGTGGGAAGGGAGAAGGAAGGCAGTGCCGATTACCCGATCCCGGCTCCTTAGCTGAAGCAGCTAAAGAGGAATTTTTGAATGCGGGAGGAGCCCCGGCAGACGAGGGCTCTTAGGTGAGTCCAGGCAAAAGCAGGCAGGGCCCTGGGCTGAGCCTCTGGCAAGCTCAGAGACAAGAAAGGCCCCGAGATGGAGCCTGCGGCGCCGGCAGCGTGTGCGGAGCGAGGCCCAGGCTCGAGGGGCGCTGATCGCGAGGAGTCTGGCCAAAGGGCTCCCTCCGAGGCCGTCAATGGAAACGTGGAGCCCGTAGTGTTGAGGTGGATGGGATTTCCCCGGGAGCAGAGGAGGATGTAGCACGACTGGAATAACTGCAGTGTGAGGTAACTCAGTAGTGAGAAATGGAGCCGCACAAACCCCCGGAGCTCATCAGGAACGGGGCAGGATCCAGCCTGTGCTCGCTGGTCGCGGCGTGGGGATGACTCACTCGCCTTTGCTTGCAGCCCTGGCGCTCGCGTGTTACACCAAGGTGCGCGGAGGCTGGGGCTGCAGCGGGGGAATCGGTGTGATCAGGCCTAGCCGTGGCAGAGCCCGTCTAAAGCTGTCCCTGGGAACGCGGGGAGCCGGTGCTATGGGGAAAAGGAAGAATTGAGCATGGTTTGCTTAGCGTGGTGAATCTGAGAGGACCTAGCAGTGCACAGGCAATAAAGTAGTTTTAACAAGGGACCAAGGTAGATGAGAACAAAAGGGAGCAAGCTGCCCGTGAAGAGTTTTTCGAGAAAGCAGATGAAGGCCAGTGGAGCAAGCTACACTTGCAGTGTTAGAAGGGAATTGTATGATGTGGTGTGTGCCGTTCTGGGTGGCTGAGCTGGGTCATGAAGGAAGATCCCTCCTGTCTGACTGGAGCCCAAACAACCACCCTTTCCTGAGGCTGGATGCTCGTTCCATCTCACGGAGCTGGGAACGCCCCTTGGGGTGTCCTGCCCCGACACAGGAGCACCTGGAGAGGCGCAGCCTGGCACATCCCCGCAAGGTGCAGCGTAGCAGGGGGACAGACTGGTCGTCCCGGCGGATGACGAGGCGGGAGACGGGCCCAGCGCGGTAGGAGTTATGTTGGGGGTGGAAGCGGAGCATCTGTCGGGACGTGCCTGGGTTCTGCCTTGTGCAGCGCTTCTCCCTGGCGGCCCTGCGGTCATGGAGAGTTGTCTGCAGCCCGTCGCAGGCAGGTGTGGTAGGGGATGTTGTTCCTCGAGCTCGTGCCGGTCGTTGGCCGCTTGTTCTTGTGATCGAGGGCTCATCTCCCTGCGGCCCTGAGCGGCCTGTG